CATTGAGAAGAAATGAACAATACCATCAACCAATGGTATCTGATTGACATTTTTACAGCTGTCTACCCAAAGGAAGCAAAATATATATATATATATATTCTTTTCAAGTGTACATTGTATATTCACCTAGATAGATCATGTCCTCTGTCAAAAAACAAACCTTAACAAGTTTAAAAGAGTGTAAATCATACAAAGTATGTTCTCTGACAGTAATGAAATTAAATCAATAACAGATAACAAACACATCTCCAAATATTTGGAAACTAATCAACATATTTTACAAATTAAACAAATATTTTACGGGTCAAAGGGAATTTTTCAAGGGAAATTAAAAAATATATATGGGACTGAAAAAAGAAAGGAAATAAATCACATCAAAATCTTTGGGATACAGTTGAAGAAGTGCTTAAAGGGAAATATGTAAAACTAGATGCTTATATTAGAAAATAAAAATATATACCTTAAATTAATAACCCAAGCTTTCACCTCAAGACAATAGAAAAAGAAAAGCAAAATAAACCCAAAGTGAGCAGAAGGAAAGCAATAATTGAAATAAGAGCAGAAAGCAATGAAATTTAAAACAAACAAAATAATAGAGAAAATAAATAAAACCAAACACTGTTTTAAAAAAAAGAAATCCAATAAAATTGATAAACTACAAGCAAGACTGACAAAGAAAAAAAAAGAAGACACAAATTATCAGTATCAGGAAAGAAAAAGGAGATATGAGTACAGACCTCAAAAACTTTAAAAGGATTAGAAAGGAAAATTATACAGAACTCAACACACATAAATTGAACAACTTAGATAAAATGGGAAAAAATCTTTAAAATTACAAACTCCTAAAATGCACCCGAGATGAAAGAGATCATCTGAAAAGTCCTATAACTATTTTAAAAATTTCATTTGTATTTAAAAACCTCCTGAAGTAGAACTCCCTGAGTGCAGACACTTTCACTGTATATTTTACTGGATTTTTTTTTAATAACACCAATTCTACACAGTCTCTTCCAGAAAATAAGAGGGAGAACTTTCCAACTCATTTTATGAGGCCAGCATTACCCTTATAACAAGACAAAGACTGCACACACACAAAAAGAAAATAAGAAACCACAATATCTCTCATAAACATAGGCACAAATATTCTCAACCTTTAGCAAAAGAATTAGGCAGTATAAAAAATAAGTAGACTGGATTTATTCCAGGAATCAAGGCTGGTTCAATATTCAAAAATTAAACAACGCAAGCCACATTTTAGCAGTTTAAAAAAGAAAATCTACACGATCATATCAATTAATGTAGTAAAAACAAAAACATTTGACAACTTCAACATCATTCATGATAAGTACTCTCAGCAAACTAGAAATAGAAAACAGCTTCCTCAAACCAATAAAAAGTATTAGAAAAAAAAAAAAGATGAATGTCTCATACACTGTTTGTGATACAGCCAATCAGGAAAGCAATTTGGTTTCTTATAAAACTAAATACACACTTACCAAATGATTCGGTAATCCCATTCTTTGTATTTATCTTAGAGAAAGGAAAACTTTTATTCACCCAAAAACCTGTACATGAATATTCATAGCATCTTAATTTGTTTTTTAATAGACTTTATATTTAGAGCAGTTTTAGGTTTAGAGAAAAATTATGCAGGAAGTACAGAGAGCTGCCATATAGCCCTACCCCTTCACACTGTTTCTCCTGTTATTATCATCTTTCATTCCTGTGCTACATTATTTGTTATAACTGATGAACCAATATTGAGACATTGTTATTAACTAAAGTCCACAGTTTACATTAGGGTTCAGTCTTTGTGTTGTACAGTTCCATAGGTTTTCACAAATGTATAATGTCATGTGTCCACCATTTCCGTGCCATACAGAATAGTTTCACTGCCCTGAAAGTGCTTGTGCTCCACCTGTTCATCCTTACTCCTCCTGCTGATCTCTGACAACCACCGATCTTTTCACTATCTCTATACTTTTGCCTTTTCCAGAATGTCATATGGTTGAAATCATACAGTAAGTAGCTTTTTCAGACTGGCTCCTTTAACTTAGCAGTATGCATTTAAGTTTCCTCCATCTATTTTCCTGATTGATAGCTCATTTTTTTAAATCA